AATGGACACAGAGGAAACACTTGCTGTCTTTTCTGCTGGGGACCTAGGACTCTACAATCGTCTGTTGTTTCCTTGATACAAACGTCTCTTTATATATATGCACATATATATATGTTTCACTGGCTTTACTTTTGTAGAAAACGCAGCCTAAAACCACCATAAATTGATAGGTTTGTATATAGTAAATTAGGAGTCAAACTTTTTTTTTTCCCCTTTGTTCTTATTTTCCCTTTTCACATGTATGTTTGATTCTCTAAGTGCTGTTTTTGGAGAAGACATTGTTCACCACACCACTGCAAATGCTGAATCTCGTGTTGTATTACAGAGGGGTGTAAAATGTTTTAGTCACCAGATAAAGGGACGGTTAACAGGGTTGAGGGCTTGTGTTAAGAAGACCACAGCAGTGCCAACATTCAGGCCCCGAGAGACTGTACCACTCACACAGAATTTTCCTTTCAGCTTCCAGGTCCTGAGTCCCCAACAACGAGAGAATCATTTGAAGAAGAGGACAAAGAGGCTGCGGGATTTGTCTGTTGTCATTCTGGAGACACTGTTGACAGGAAACTGACATTTCTCAACGGAAGTCAGAGCTGATCCAGAAAACGCCAAGACAGAGCATCGTAGTGGCTCACAATGTCCCCCAAACGAAGGAAGATGTTTAAGATTCAGGTGACTTTTAGTTTGTTTTATGCTTTCCTTAGTTTCCTAATGGATTTGTAGAGACCTGTGAAAATCTCAGTTCATTTCATTTTCATCTGAGAAGTACAAATTCGGACAGGTATAAGCTACAGAGAATTAGACTATGTCTCTGACGTCAATATCGGGCAATGCAGCTTCAGTATCCAGGGAATTAGCAGTAAAATGTTGAGGCTGAACATAATGTAGCTGGGGATTTTGAGTTACATTTGGTTTTGTAGAAACAGCGAAACAGAGGTGTCTGACCATGAACTTCAACAGAGAGAGAATTCTCCATCAGCCTTGTGCCGATTCCTAGTCAGCTTAAGTCAGACATACCTCTGCTCTGTGACCTTTTTTACTAATTCTGACCTCACTCTCTGCTGCCCTGCCGGGTTCGATAGTTCATTGCAATGGCCACACCCAGAACTCGCAGATCATACTCACCTTTATGGGCTTTATTAAGGAAGTGACGAAAAAACTCAGGATACAGTTCTTTGAATACGAGTCTCTTCTTTGGCCCCCAGCCTGGACATTCTGGCCTCTGGCCACCTGGGCAAGTGTGACAAAGCTCTTGGCTCCTCCAGTAAGTACCCCGAGACACCGCACTCTGTCAGTTAGCCTCGGCCTGATGGCACTCAGCTCTCCTGCTCAGCCGGCTTGGAAACCCACTTCATTGTCTCTTGGTTTTCCTGGTTCTGTAGCTGCATTTGTCCAATGAGACTTCTTGCTCTTACGGTACTTCTGTCTTGCTCCGGTATTCTGTCTTCTGGATGTATGAGGTTCCCAGCTCAGGGACCCTGGGTTCAATATCTTCTTCTTGATGGTAGACAAGACCCCACCCTGCTTTGTAACTGGCTCTCATTTAAAACCAGATGGATGGTGAAATTGACCAGTCCCGTTGTTAGGGCTCCACCCACCTTATTTTTATGGTCCTGTTCACACAAGGGGTGCCTGGCATCTCATTTTTATCATTAGCTATCCAATCTTCTTGGTTTGCCACAACCACCTATTTGCATGGTCCCTCCCATTCAGTTATTTGTCAAGGGTAACAATTGTGAGGTTGGCCCAGGACTGGGCAGTGTTTCATTCGCTATGAGTCCGTTGTGTGTTAGAAGGACTTTATTAAATGCCATATTGGGCTGCAAACCTTAAGGTCAGCAGTTCAAAACTACCAGCTGTTCCTCAGGAGAAAGATGAGGCTTTATGCTCCCATAAAGATTTACAGCCTCGGAAACCCTGTGCAGGGTTGCTATGAGTTGGAACCGACTCCACAGCACATAACAACAATTAATTAATTAATGCATAGATTATAAAGTTCTTTTGCAAATACGTACAGCCCCCGCACTTGTTAGTTTTCTGTTCGTGCCATCTCATTATGCATGGGTAAGTAATCTGAAAAATAAAACAGTTTACTTCACTGCAGGCTACCCCTGGCTCTTCTAGCCATTGGCCCTTTCATACTTGAGTGATTAACTTTTCTCTCTCACAATCATTTTACCAGTCCAAAAACCGTCATTAACAATTAGCCCTTCATTAGGGAAATGGATACTGATGACAAGGTTACTTGGCAACTAGCCATTCAAGTCTGCTCAGATACCCAGCTGATCTGTCAGCTCTCTAAAAGGTTTCTGGGTTTCACCACTGCTGTCTTTTGTTTGTTTACACATACAAATCAAAAAATAAATATTCATTTAAATGTCCTAAGGGCACATTCTGCAAGGCAGCCTCCTGTCCGCAGGCACACAGCCTTGCTCAGTCCTTGGGTCTAGAGCCCACAGCTGCTCTGTCTCTCCATACTACCATCTCTGCCATTGTCTCTGCTTTTCTAGGTAGGACCTCACACTCCTCTTATGCTCCTCCTTGATGGACCTGGGATCGTCTGTTCGTGAGATGAAAGATTAACTATTCCCCCTTTTAATTACACATCTTCTACAATTACAGTTGTGACGATCACAGTTCTGCTAACAGTTATCCCCAATTGAATCATGAAATCCTACCACCATCATTTCCCACCCCCTTTCACCAGATCCATCTGGAAAAGTGGAAAGTTATTCAGTGAGGATTCAACCTTACCTGCCTTGTTCTGAAACTAAGCACACCCATGCCAGCCACTCTGTGCCTTTATAACTGCATCTCCCCACCCCCATTTTTGCTAGCCAGTGTCTAGACTGCCTGGCCCCTGTTTTCTTGTGATAAAATTTGCCTGGGTGAGGACTATTCCCTGAGTCTCTGAATTTCACACAGTATCAGCACAGCAAAGCTTTTAAGGCCCTTTAGAGTCCGTCCCTGGAAAAGGGCATCATGTTTGGTAAAGTGGAGCCCTGGAGATAAAGAGGAAGACCCCCAACGAGATGGATTGGCACAGTGGCGGCAGCAGTGGGCTCAAACGTAACAATTGTGAGTTTGGTGCAGGAATGGCCAGTGTTTAGTTCTGTTGTACGTAGGGTCGCTATGAGTCGGTCCGACTTGATGACATCTGACAACAACAATGAGTCATCTACTGTACCCCAGTCCAGTAATGCCACCCACGATGTCCACATTTTCACAGTTACTCTTTCTACTATTACAGTTTTTATAGTCACAGTTAATCTTGTTAACAGTCAGTACTCATAACTGAGTCATATCCGCAAGGTGGGTTTAAACCACAAGGCTGATAGTTCAAACTCACCAGCCGCTCCTTGGAAACCCTGTACAGAGTTGCTATGAGTCGGAACTGACTTGACGGCACTTAACAACAACAATGATCCCTTTAGCATTTTCCCCCACCATCTCTTCCCCAGACACATCTCTTCAGCAGGAACCCTTGTCTACCTTATTTTGATGGTAAGCATACCCCAAAAAGCATGTAAATCGGCCCTTTCTCGCCTTTACAGGGCAATTCAGGAATTGTTGGTTAAAGGTGCCTGTTGAGAGTATTTGCTCATCTTGGTCTAAAACAATGCTCTTCTCATAGGATCGGAATGCCAGGTCTTCGCACATTTCGGTGTAGTATTTGACTTTGTCTTCTCGAGCTCTTTGACATTTCTTGTTCAGCTCTTTATTTCTTCGTTTTCTCCATTTGCTTTAGCATTTTTACACTGGAGAGAAAATTTCAGAGTTCTGACATCCATTTTGGTCTTTTACATCTTTCTTGTCTTCGTAATGACCTTTTGTTTTCTCCCTGTGTGATGTTCTTCATGTTGTCCCGCCATTCCTCTGGTCTTCGGTCATTCGTGTCTAATGCATCAAATTTGTTCTATGGATGACCTCTGAATTCAGGTAGAATGTCTTCAGGGTCACATTTTACTTTTCTGTACTTGTTTTCATTTTCTTCAGCTTCAGCCTGGACTTGTGTATGAGCAATTGACAATCTGTTCCACAGTCTGCCCTTGGTCTTGTTTTGACTCATGATCTGGTGCGTTTTCACCTTCTCTTCCCACAGTTGTAGTCAATTTTGATTTCTGTGTAGTCTGACAGTATTCTAATGCTATTCATCGTGTTTCAATAGTCTGGTACTATCCGACAGTGTTCCACTGCTACTCATAAGGTTTCAGTGGCTGAACATTCAGAAATACTCTACGTCTCCTTCTTCCTAGTCTGTGTTAGTCTGGAAGCTAAGCTGAAACCTATCCACCATGGGTGTACCCTGCTGGTATTTAAAATACTGGCGACATCACTGCCAGCATCACAGAAACTCACAAGGCCCCAGAGTGCAACAAACTGGCAGACTAGTGGTGGGGTAGACTATAGAATGTGCAAATTCAGAATAGCTTATTACAGGTTTGATGTCTCTATAATAAATATGTATCTATAGTTAAAATAAGGAGCTCTGGTAACGTAGTGGTTACGAATTGGGCTGCTAACCTCAGGGTCAGCAGTTTGAAACTACCAGCTGTTACACTGGAGAAAGATGAGGCGTTCTGCTCCCGTAAAGATTTACAGCCTCGGAAACCCTGTACAGGGTCGCTATTGGTCGGAACCAACTCCACGGCACATAACAACAACAGCAACGTATTTAAAATAAAAAACGTAGGTATACAGATGTGGTGGTGGTGTGCCGTGGAGTCAGTTCCGACTCATAGCGACCCTGCATAGGGTTTCCAAGGCTGTAAATCATTACAGGAGCAGAAATCCTCATCTTTCTCCCACAGAATGGCTGGTAGTTACGAACTGCTGACCTTGAAGTTAGCAGCCCAACTCGGAACCACTACGCTACCAGAGCTCCTTGTATATATATACAGCAGTGTTTCTATAGGAAGTGATCGAACCAGTCCCTCACATTTCGTTCGTGTCATCGAATGGAATATACTGCACTTACTAGGATCCTCTTCACACAGGACTCGCTGACGTTCAGCGACGTGGCTGTGATGTTCACCCGGGAGGAATGGCAGCTCCTGGCCCCTGCTCAGAAGGCCCTGTACCGGGATGTGATGCTGGAGAACTATACAAACCTGGCATCTGTTGGTGTGTACCCTCCCCTGTCATTGGCCTTTCCGTCTCGGATGCTGAAATCTTTATAAAGTCCTGTGGTGCTTTAAAGAGGCAGATACTCAGTCCACTCTCAGGGTCCAGATAAGTGGGCATCAATCCCATACCCCTAGTAGAAGGACCAACAGTCTTTCTATTTTTCCCCATGATTACAATATTCTGCATTCTTCACAAACTGTTTGTTATGTCTCCGATTCTGTGGTTTCCCACAAACAGGGTATCAGGTTAGCAAAGCCGATGCACTCTGCAGGCTGGAACGAGAAGAACCGTGGACTGCGTTTTCCAAGAGCCCTGGTGGAATCTTTTCAGGTGAGCACATGAAGAGACTTTCAGCATCCCAGCAACATGCAAGCCACCATAGTGCCAGAAACTTCAGATGTGTGGTAGAAACTGAATTGTGGGCTGTGTCTCTATCATCAGGACATTCACTACTATTATGTGAGGAAACTGTTGTCTCCTCCCTGTAACCTTCTATATTTTTCACATACATACACCTAGTAAATTCTCTTTCAGTAAGAATTTGTGCAGTGAATGAATGGGTCTGGAATTCAACAGGCCTTCCAACCTCTGTGGTATGGTGGTCCCAGTGTCTTGATTTTATTTTGTATTTTTTGCAAGTTTTGTAAGGCCTTGTTTAAGAAGCAACCAAATCAGTATTTATTATGTCTAACCTTGTTTCTACACTAACTGCTTTTACTCACTGGGTTGTTTATATTCATTTATTTTTATCGATGTGCAAGGGACATTTGCATGTTGTTTTATTTACACTCATACTCAAGGGTTGTCAGTAAAGATCCACCGTACACTTATGAGTTTGTCACTGTTCTCTTCTCTCCTAGAAATCCAGAAAGCTGATCATCTGCTCGGGGACTCAGTAAATGAAAGAAGGGTGGACAGGCTGGAACAACGCTATGAACGGAACACATTGGAAAATAATGTTCATCGCCACAGAAGTCATTTCTCCTTAAAGAAATATCATGATATGTTTGACTTACATGAAAAAGTTGGGAGGTCAAATTTAACTTTCCCGGTATTCAACCACATCACAGGTGATGAAATAAAGAAGTCTGCTCAGCAGCTCCTCCGAAATCCTCTGTGGGGCGAGTCGGAATCAACTCGAAGGCACTTACCAACAGTAACAGCTCCTTGTAATAGAAATGGAACAGACTCTGTCTGTGCTGACCATGAGCAGTTTTGCATTGAAGCAACGTTCCCTGAGAGCCAAATATCCAGCAGGACTAGGTCCAAAAAACACCAACTCTTTAAGCATCAGAAAAGAGAGAAATTGCATGTAGGCAGTGAATGTGGGGAAGCCTTGGTCAAGAAGTCTTTCCTCACTGATCATCAGATCCTTCACACTGGGGAGAAGCCTTACAGATGCAATCTATGTGGGGAAAGTTTCTTTAAAAACTTCAAGCTCATTGAACACCATCACACGTTTCATAAAGGAGAAAGACCGTATAAATGCTTGGAATGTGGCAAAGCTTATTTTTATAAACCACAGTTCAATGAACATCTGAAAACTCATTTGGCGGAGAAACCCTATACGTGCAGTGAATGTGGAAAAGGTTTCATCCGGAAGAGTCATCTTACTATCCATCAACGAACTCACACCGGAGAAAAACCCTACATGTGCAGTCACTGTGGGAAAGGCTTCATCAAGAAGACAGATCTCACGGTCCATCAGCGAACTCACACTGGAGAGAAACCCTACTCCTGCGGTCATTGTGGGAAACACTTCAACCACAAGGGAAGCCTCATTATTCATCAGCGAATTCATACTGGAGAGAAGCCTTACATATGCACCGAATGTGGAAAAGGCTTCAAACATACGGGAAGTCTCATTGTTCATCAGCGAACTCATACCGGAGAGAAACCCTTTGTATGTAGTGAGTGTGGGAAGCGCTTCAAACATAAGGGAAGTCTCATTATTCATCATCGAATTCATACCGGAGAGAGACCCTACGTATGTAGTGAATGCGGAAAAAGCTTCAACCACAAGGGAAGTCTCGTTATTCACGAGCGAATCCATACTGGAGAGAAGCCCTATGTGTGCGGTGAATGTGGGAAAGGCTTCATCCAGAAATTGTGCCTCATAGCGCATCAGAGATTTCACACCGGAAAAACGCCCTTTTCATGCAGTGAATGTGGAAAAGCTTATTCTCAGAAGTCAAGTCTCAATATCCATCTGAGAACTCATACAGGTGAAAAACCCTACAAGTGCAGTGAATGTGAGAAGGTCTTTGAAACGAAGCAAAAGCTTGTTGTACATCAGCGATCTCACATAGGAGAGCCCCCGTATGGTTGCACCGAATGTGGGCGAACTTTTGCCTCTGCTTCTAACTTCTATTCACATCAAAAAAAACACAAAAGAAAGAAACGTGCAGACTCAGTGAAGGTGGAAGAGCCCTCCGCAGCAAATCACCTGTCACCACCTACCAGGGATCTGCAGGAGAAAACGCCTGTTAATACAATGACTATTCAGATGCCTTCTGTGGCAGCTCAGACATCTGTAAACCCCAGTGGGCTTCTAACTAGTAGGAATGTATTCTTTGTGGGGCAGCCTGCTGCTGCTAGAGGTGAAGTCTCAGGAGGTAACAGAGAATTTGTCCAGCAGCGAAACCTTCTGAACACAGTGAATGTGGTAGTACCCATGAGCGCCGTGACTGTGGTAATGCCTCCAGTGTCTGATTATATCGTAGTTTATGCCCCACAAAACCCGTAGGATAAACTTCAGACACATTCACTGGAGATGGGTGTCGAGCAAAGATTTCTACCTCATTGCATGGTTAGAAAGTGTATTCTGAGGGCAATCCTATCTATCAATGCAGAGACTGGGGAAGCCTGCCGCGTTCATCCTAGCTAAGTAACAGAGAGGTTATCTGGTGTTAACACATACATGTCAGTTGTTCCCTTGTTCCAATTAAATGAAATAAAAGTTTGAGTGAATTTATGTGGAGGAAATAACATGCTGTGAAATTGTAAAACAAAAGATCATTGCTATCTGGAATGTTGCTGTAAATGTAAAGTTGCATTGGAGGTGGATTGGGTACAAAAACGGCCTTGGGGGTGGCATCTGTCCTCCTCTAGTTTTATAAGGAGAAGAATCAGCGTCAGCCCAAGGCTGATCCTATGGGACCACGATCAGATATGCTTCTACCCTTGAATATTTTCTTCCGGTTCTGACATCCACTGTCCCTCACTTGGCACTCTCTATTTCTTCGATGAGTTTGGTAGTTTGTTACGTTGGCCACATAGAACTCGGACATTAGTCACAGTTAGGGGGTTTATTAGGGATCAGAAATGATATAGGATGTAGTTCTTCATTCAAGACGGACTTTTCCTGTCTATACCCATAAGTATACCTCTTTTTAGAGCTCAGCTATATGGTCTCCGAGCCTCGGCTTAGGAAAGTGTTTCAAATAACTTTAATCGGGGCTCAAAACCAGCCCACTCCATCTAGAAGCCTTTTCATCACCAAGCCTCTGTGCAAAGGTGTCTGACTTTAGCTCAGTGGGTCAGCGATCCTAACTCCTCAGCTAAATGTCTAGAGGCACACCACTTCGCTAGTAATCTTCTTAACCGAATGGCATTTCATTTTCTCCTCCATAGGCCAGGAAGCTCACCACTCTGTCTTACACAGGTCTCCTGGCTCTCAGCCACCACCGCCAGCATTGCAGTCTCTTGGATCGAGGAGGTCCAGCACAGGGATCTTGGTCCAAAGGACTTGCTCCACTCCTGACTTCACTTTCTCAGTGGGAGTCAGATCTTGATCTTTCCATTTCTGGGATAGCTCATTTTAAAGCTTGCAGGATGACAAAACCAACCAATCCCCACATTACAGTATTGTATACCTGATTTGCATATTCCCACACTACAATAAGCAAGGATGGTGAAACTTCGTCTCATACTTTGGACATATTATCAGAGGGGACTAAGTCCCTGGAGGACATCATGCTTGGAAAAGTGGAGAGTCGGCGAAAAAGCAGAAGACCTCCAACAAGATGGGCTGACACTGTGGCAGCAACAGTGGGCTCAAGCATAGCAACAACTGAGGATGGTGTGGTACCAGGCACTGTTTTAGTCTCTTGTGGATAAGCTCACTATGAATCAGAAATGACTCGACTTAACAACCACCACCCCACAAGATTACTGTACCCTTACTGTACCCCTTCTTTATATTATTCACAGGCTATCCCATCTCCTTTGGTGAGCCACAAACACCTCACATTTGCATAGCCCTGGTGTGGTGCTATAAGATGAGCCCTGTACTGCTAGCCACAAGGTTGAAAGTTCAAATCCACCAATTGTTTCTTGGGAACCCTATGCAGGGTTGCTATGAGTCGTAATCAATTCAATGGCACTTAACAGCAACAACCCTGTTATTTGGTGAGGGAGTCCTGGTGTGGCGCTGTGGGTTAATGCACTGGACTGCAAAGTCAGTCTGAACCACAAGGTTGGTGGTTCAAACTCAACCAGCCACTCCTTGGGAACCCTATACAGGGTGACTATGGGTCAGAACCAACTCGCCAGCACCTAACATGAAACAACAGCAAAGACAGCTATAAAGCATTAAGTAACTGTCAGCACTGTAGTGAGAAAGTGGCAGTGCTGGATTGGAGGGACACGGGCACATGTGTCTCAGGTCACGTATGTATGGAGTCTTGGTGTGGCACTGTGGGTTAATGCGCTGGACTGCAAAGTTGTTTTCAACTTCAAGTCAGCAGTTGAAGCTCACCAGCCACTTCTCGGAAACCCGATCCACGGTTGCTGTGAGTCGGAACTGACTCGATGGCATTGACCAACAACATCTATCAGTTCACTTTCCTCAGATCCATGTGAAGGATTAACTGAAATCCAGGTTATCTTTCAGACATCAAAGAACTTTATGTGATGTGCACAGATCTGTGAAACAAGTCTTTCATTGAAACTAGTCATTAATGTAGGAACTCTGGTTGTGTCGTGGTTACGAGTTGGGCTACTAACCTCAAGGTCAGCAGTTTGAAACTACCAGCTATTCCATGGGAGAAATATGAGGCTTTCTGCTTCTGTAAAGATTTACAGCCTTCAAAACCCTATGTAGGGTCACTATGAGTCTGAACCGACTCCACAGTACACCCCCCATTCATTACTATAACAAATATTTGTCACATGCTATCTTTGTTTTCAACCTATATGCTGAGCAAATAATCCGAGAAGCTGGTTTCTATCAAGAAAAACGTGGCATCAGGATAGGAGGAAGACTCATTAACAACTGCAATATGCAGATGATACAACCTTGCTTGCTGAAAGTGAAGAGGACTTCGAACATTTACTGATGAAGATCAACAACCACAGCCTTCCGTATGGTTTATATTTCAATGTAAAGAAACATCCTCGTCACTGGACCAATAACATTCTTATCAACGCAGAAAAGATTGAAGTTGTCAAGGACTTCCTTCTTCATGGCTCAACTGTCAACATTCACAGAAGCAGCAGTCAAGAAATCAAACAGCGTATTGCATTAGGCAAATCTGCTGCATAAGGCCTTTTTAAAGTGTTGAAGAGCAAAGATGTCAGCTTGAGGACTAAGGTGTGCTGTGGTATTTTCAATAACTTCATATGCATGTGAAAGCTGGACAGTGAATAAGGAAGACCGTAGGAAAATTGACGCATTTGAGTTATGGTGTTGGAGGAGAATATTGAAAGTGCCAAAAGAACAAACAGATCCATGTTGGAAGAAGTGCAGCCAGAGTACTCCTTGGAGGCCAGGATGGCCAAATTTCATCTCTCATACTTCGGACATATTGCCAGGAGGGACCAGTCGCTGGAGAAGGATATCATGTTTGGTAAGGTGGAGGGTCAGAGGAAAAAAAGACCGCCAACAAAATGGATTGGCCAGGTGGCAGCATCGATGGACTCAAGCGTGGCAACACTAGTGAGTGAGGTTGGCCCAGGATCAGGCAGTGTTTCGTTCTGCTGTGCATAAGGTTGCTATGAGTCCGTACTGACTCGATGGCATCTTAACAACAACAACAGCCTTTGAACCTGGCCCAGTTCCCATGAGTTGAAAATATAGTGGTAAATGAAAACAGAAAAACATTTTAGGAGTTAAAAATTTAAAAAAAAAAATTTTTTTTAAACCTCTTATGAAAATTTATTTTCAAAACCTTGTTACCATTGGATTGATTCTGACTTGTGGTGGCCCCGTGTGTGTGTGTGAGACTAGAGCTGTGCTTGAATAGTTTGGGTTTCCCATAGCTGAGTTTCCACAAGTACATTGCCAGACCTTTCTTCTGAGATGCCTTTGTTAAGTGCCATCGAGTCAGTTTCAACCCATAGCAACCTTGCATAGGGTTCCCAAAGAGCGGCTGGTGAGCTTGAACCGCCGACCTTACGGTTCAAACCAACTTTGCAGTTCAGTGCATTAACCCACAGCGCCACACCAGGACTCAGGGCGGACTCAGATCTCCAGTCTTGGTTAGTTTCCAAGACTATGAACTACTTGCTAAATCACAGACTGTCAGGGTACAAGCTCCTTTTCATAGTAACAAGCAGTCCTAGTGTGGTGCTGTAGGATAAACACTAGACTGCCAACTGCAAGGTTGGTGGTTCAAACACACCAGTCACTCTTAGGAAACCCCATACAGGCTCGCTGTGAGTTAGAACCAGCTTGATAGCACTTAAAAAGAATGAGAATTAGCAGCACAGGTGATAGTTATTTTTTTAGAACCTGGGCCTTTTCTCCCCAGGGTAATTGTAAATTCCTTGACAGTCTTTATAACTACCCCTAAGTTATTTTAAATTCCTTGGCAATTTTTTATAAGTACTTATACCCAAGTAGATTATAAATTGTTAAGTGCCATGGAGTCAGTTCCAATTCAGTGATCCAATATAGGGTTTCTGAGGCTATAAACCTTTGCAGGAGCAGAAAACCTTATCTTTCTCCTGTGAAGCAGCTGGTGGGCTCAAGCCACTGACCTTGTGGTTGTGGTTTTCAGTCTAGTACTTACCCTACTTGCTCTCCCTAGATTATAAATGTTGTTAGGTGCTATCGCGTCAGTTCCAACTCATAGAGACCCTCTATAGGGTTTCTGAGGAGCAGCTGGTGAGCTTGAACTGCCGACCTTACGGTTCAAACCAACTTTGCAGTTCAGTGCATTAACCCACAGCTAGGTAAGACCTGCTCCATGTTGCCTTGGGCCCTGTCGCATCTCCTCTTGCAAGATTTTTTTGTTTGTTTAATATTTAAAATTACAATCCCCTCCTGGCAATATTTATCCTACTTCCTCCCTGTGGTTCCCCATTTACATCTAATACTTCACTTATGAACAAGACAACTATATTTCGTGTACACTTACAAAACAAAAACTATATGTTCATTTAGTTTAAATGTCTTAAGGACACGTTCTGTCAGCCAGCCTCCTGCCCCCAGGCACACAGCCTTTCTCAGTCCACGGGCCCAGAGCCTGCAGCTGCTCTTGTCTCTCCATGCCACCACCTATGCCACCATCTCTGCTGTCGCCATTTTTCTAGGTAGAGACCTCACACTCCATTCATGCTCTTCCTGGGATAGTCTGTTCCTGAAATGAAAGATTTAACTACTACTCCCTTTGAGTTACACATTTTCTACAGTTAACAGTTGTGACAGTCACAATCCTGACAACAGTTTTTCATGATTGAGTCATAAAATCCTATCACCATCACCCTCCACCCCTTTTCACCAGATCCATATGGAAAAGAGGG